CTCCGTCCCCATTTCCACAGTCATCAGCAGCGAGGCCAGTGGTAGCCGCACCATCATACATGCCTACAGGTTTGTACATCTGTCTGCGCCTTGCCAGCTGCCGCCGCCATTGCCGTCAGTCAGCTCCCAGAGCAGGACCCTTCTCTCCAAGACCCGCGTGCTCCAGCACCGCTCCCCACCGAACGGGAGGTCCAGGCCCCTGGTAGCCTCTAATCTGTGTCTCCTTGCCCTTCCCTTGGCTCGGGCTCCACCCCAAGCTTCCTGGTGGCTGACTTCAGGCAGCGGGGCGTGGACGTGTCTCAGGTGGCCTGGCAGAGTAGCGGGGAAGCCCCATGCTCTTGCTGCATCGTCAACAGCTCCAATGGCTCCCGTACCATTGTGCTCTACGACACGTAAGGCCCCCTGGCCTGCCCTGCCACAGCCCACCAATTAGCTCCCTCACTTGCCACGTGGGCAGCCCACTTGCCCACCCTCTGTGGCCTCTCTCTTTGTACCAGAAATTGTCCCTATGCCAAACTGTTCAGTGATTTTGGAATTGTTCTCAATTAGGGGAGAAGTGAGGTGGGAAGGGATGGGCTTTGCTCTGCCTGGCGACTTGGCCTTGGTCAACACCAAGGATGGGCGGGCAGGCCTGTGCAAACTGTAATTTATGATGTGATTCCTCCATAATCAGCCAATCAGCAGCCTGGGTGTGAGTATGGGGAAATTGTTCTGAGGACAGAGGGATGGGAGATGTGATTCAAACCATCTTGAGCCCTGAAGGGGGCCCACTGGGGTTTCCAGGGTCAGCCCCAGAGTTGCCAGCCTGCAGCATGGCACCAGGAGCTGAGGTTTGGGTGTTCAAAAGAGATGAGCAACCCCAAAGGTCCCAGCATAATGAAGCCAGACCAAATGCCACACACCACTCACAGCCATTGCTGAAGGAGGGAAGGGGAACACTGGCTCAGCAGAACAGGGCCATCTGATGTGTTGCTAACCTGGGGCAGGGCAGGGGCATCCCTTTAGGGTCCCAAGCTTCCAGGGAGTGACCCCTTCTCATCTCTCCCAGATTCCCTCCTGAAAAATCTCAAGAGGTTTAGTTTACTGAGAACCTAGTGGGTGCCAAGTACTCTGTTAGGGCAGAGATGGCCCAAGCCCAACTGCCCTGGGGTTCTGACTGTCCCTGCTGCCCAGCATGACCACTGGACCTGCGGGAGGGGCAGTCATCCTAGAACAAGATTTATAACCAGTGGCCCTGGGCTCTTTGTGTCCCAGTGAATGAGTGGGTAGGCATACATGCTAGACACGATCTTCCCATTGGGCAACCCTAGTCATCTGCCCATTAAGCAACAATCTGTAGCAACTTTGATCAGGGACACAACATGGGTATTCACAGGAAGGGAGGGAGAGGAGCTCCAAGGAGAAATGTTTATTGCCCACTGGCCTCGGTCCAGGCATATCCTCCAGCTGCAGCAGGCCTGCGAGGCTAGGGGTTCAGTCCCATTTACCAAAAGGGAAGCACCTCAGAAAGGCCACAGTCACCCAGCTAGTTAAATCGAAGGAGGATTTGGCGCAGAACATGGAGGGGAGGACACTGTGTGTAGGTCTCTGGCCAAGGAAGGTCAAGGCGGACCCTTCCCAGGTCTCCATACCTAAGTTGGCCAAAACTAAACTCATCCTCAAGCACCAACCTTGATCCCAGGGTCATAACATGGAGCTGCCAAACTCAGGACAGGGCTGCTGTCACCACTGGGGTGCCTGAAGTGAGAGGACCCAGACCCGAGCTCCAGGCAGAACGGCATGGCCTTTGTAGTTTCCCGGGGCACTGCGTGGTGGTAGCTGTGTGTGCTGCTGGCAAGAGGAATTCTGGGAATTGTAGTCCCTGGTGCTCTGAAAGCATTTTGGGAGATATGGTCTCCAAGGCACGCAGAACTGGTCCCTTGCTTGACATATGTGGTGGTTGAGTTTGCCCTTAGATAATATCACAGCCTCAAACATAGGAAGGGGCACCCTAGGAAACTGCCTCCAGCCCCCTGTCTGGATGGAGCTGAGTAGGGCAAGGAGTGGTCTCGAGTTTAGCCTGAGACAGGGTCTGTCCTGGAGCTAAGCCTCAGAAGCATGTGCTATAGATTCAGCTTCCTGCCATGCTGCAGGCAGCGCCAGGCATAGGGGCCCTAGCAGCCAGTTAGAGATCCTGGCCCTGGCTGACCTCACCATGCCCCTTCTCTGTCCTTTCTGTCCTGCGACTCAGGAACCTACCAGATGTGTCTGCTAAAGACTTTGAGAAGGTTGACCTGACCCGGTTCAAGTGGATCCACATTGAGGCAAGCCCTGCCCTACCTGTGTTTTGAGGGCCTCAACCTGCCAGCCCCTCCACATGTTCTGCCTTCTTCTTGGTTTCTTTGAACCATGAAGTACCTTAGAGATCAATGAATCCAACCTCCCTCACCCGCTCTCCACCCTCCTTTTATGTTTTCATGTGGAAACTAAGGCCCAGAAAGACTGGGTAATTTACTCAAGGTCACACAGCAGGATGTAGGTGCCAGAAGCAGGGTGCTGCCTCTAGGCAAAGTCTGGTGCTTTCTGTGTTACAGGCTGCCCCACCTCCTCTGGACTTGGCCTCTGGCAGGAGCCTGGCTGTGGGAGGCCTGACCCGTTACCTCTGGGGAGGCAGGAATGGGAGGGCCTGACCCAGCTCCTAAATAAAGGGAACTGGAATCTTCATTCCAAGAGAAGTTCTGGAGTCTAGGTGGGAGGAAACCTTGAGAAGTCCTGAGTTCTAATCCTAGCCCTGTCATTTAATTTATTGTAGGTCCTTAGGAGAGTCTCTCTTTTATTCTTTCATCTTCTCATCTGAAATGGGAGGGCTGGTCAATAAGGTCTCCAAGGTCCAGAATAGCACTAGAATTTTGAGACTTAGGATGGGGTTCCGGCCCAGCCTTCCTGGCCCCTCTCCCCCCTCACCCATGGTTCCAGCAGGGAGGGAAGAATGAGGCAGAATGAGACCAGCGCCCAGCTAGTCCTGAGTTGCCTGCCCTGCCCCGCTCTGCCCCAGGGCCGGAATGCATCGGAGCAGGTGAAGATGCTGCAGCGGATAGAACAGCACAACGCCAGGCAGCCTCCGGAGCAGAAGATCCAGGTGTCTGTGGAGGTGGAGAAGCCGCGAGAGGAGCTGTACCAGCTGTTGGGCTACGGAGACGTGGTAAGCATCCCCCACGGCCCCCCAACTTGCCACATCCAGCTTATTTTGGTCCTTAAAGGGAGTCCGAGTGTCCCCTTGTCCTGCCTGTCACACTTAGGATGGCAATTTGCGGCTTGGTGATGTTGGCAGGTGGGGGCAAAGCAAAGAGGCAGACCTCTAGCTTAGGGCTCTAGTGCAGGCCTCAGCAGTGGCCAAGGAGTAGAATTTCTCCACCCCAGTGGGCGCATAGGTATGAAGGCAGCCAGAGGGCTTGGTCAAGGCCAAGACAGCCAGCCTCAGGGCCAGCCTGCGTGGAAGCCTCTCCTCCCTGGGCCTCCTGTCTTTTCCTCTGTCAAATGACAGGATGGGACTGTTCTCCGAGGTACCCTCCAATTCTGGGGTGGGAGCCACTAGGGGGTGAGGGAGGATGGGAAGGGGACTTGCGCATGGTAAGTTTGGAATGTACATGGAATCGGGATGATAATTCTAGCATCACAGTGGAAGCTCGTTGGGCCTCAGCCTTGGCTGCACGTTAAATGATGTGGATGCCTGAGCCCTTTTTTTTTTTTTTTTTTTATTTCGGTTGGTAGAGGTGAAGCCTGGGCTGAAGTATTTTTTAACAAAACACCCTGGTGATTCTAATATGTAGCTAGTGTTAAGGAAGCTCTAGAACCCCTATCCCTTCGTTTTAAAGATGAAGAAATCAGACCTAGAAGGCATAGCTGTATGCGGAAAGCCAAACAGAACAAAAACCCTCCTCAAAGCCGTGGTTTTACCTGCCAGTTGTAGATTGCGCCCCAAGATGACCTCAAGACTCACTCTGGGTTTTCAATTGTGAGGAAATTCGTTGATCTTAGAATAGGCCGGGGCTTTTGTGTCACAATTTACATGGCTGTTTTCTAGCATATCCTGAGCAAGTATGAAAACATGTTCCTGAGGGACAGCGAGATGCTACTTGGGGGTTTAGGTGGCCACGATGGAGGAGCAGGTTGCTGGTAGTGAGGGACAGCTGGGGTAGAGCTCAGCTGACTGTCAGCCTCTCTTCCACTGCCCACAGGTGTTTGTCAGCAAAGATGTGGCCAAGCACTTTGGGTTCCAGTCAGCGGAGGAGGCCCTGAGGGGCCTGTACGGTCGCGTGAGGAAGGGGTGAGCTAGCGGAAGCCAGGCAGCGGCCCGGGTACGGGGAGTGAGAGAGCCTGGCCCCCAGGGTCTGCCCCAGGGAGGGATAATGAGGCTGGGGGCCAGGGCTGGGCTAACACCCAGCTGAGTGGAGGGTGTCACAGGGCTACGCTGGTCTGTGCCTGGGCTGAGGAGGGTGCCGATGCCCTGGGCCCTGATGGACGGCTGCTCCACTCCGACGCTTTCCCACCGCCCCAGGTGGTGGACACTCTGGGGGCCGGAGACACCTTCAACGCGTCCGTCATCTTCAGCCTGTCCCAGGGTGAGTACCCCAGCAGCAGGCCCAGGGCCGGGGCCTGCCCCTGCCCAGAAGGCCCTGCTGATCTGGCTGCTCATCCCTCCCTCCAGGGAAGAGCATGCAGGAGGCACTGAGCTTTGGCTGCCAGGTGGCGGGCAAGAAGTGTGGTCTGCAGGGCTTCGATGGCATCGTGTGAGTGCCCTGTGGCAGGAAGCACCGGCTCACATCCCCGCCCCAGGCCAGCATCACTGGCTGCCGTCGCCCTCTCTTCTCTGGCCAGCTGGCATCAGGCTGCCTTGCCCCCCGGGCGGATGCAGGCTGTGGGAGGGCTCCACCTGTGACCTGGCATCTCACATGGCAGAGCTGCAGAGCAAATAAATCTTCCCCAGAGCCAGCTTCCTTCTGGCAGTCTGTTTGTCTTTGATGTCTGAGCTGCTCTGGCTGGGGATTCTGGAGGCTTTGATCCTGAAGTCCTGTGCCCTTTTTTTCTCTATTCCCCAAATTCACCTCCTGCCCAGGCCCAGAGGAAGGGCCACCCAGACCAGAGCAGCAGGAAGTGCCCCAGGCTTGCCACCAGCTGTGCCCCTGCTGGGGCCCCAGCTCAGGGTAGAGGGCCAGACTTCCAGCCTTCCTGGCGGGGGAGGAGACTTAACCCCTTGTACCCCAGGGAACCTTCCAAATAACCACAAGCCATGAGAAAAGCTCCTCTGGGCCCCAGCTCTGTCACAAGACTCCAGTGGCCACAAGTGTGTCCACATGGCTGAGCCAACCTGACAGGCCAGCGGGCAGGGAGCCTCCTCTGGTTAGGCGGAGTCTCTGCAGTCCAAAAATATCTCCCCAATGACTGACCCCGAGCCTGACCGCCCCACCCTTGGAGCCGCCTTGTAGTTAAGGCGGTGCCTGAGCCACAAATGTGACCCGGAATGCAAAGCATTGCTTTCCCTGGGGGAGACCTGGTCTGAGGGCATATGGGAATTGGTGAATTTCCATATGGGAGTTGGGGCAGGGTGGTGAGGCCGTAGAATGTGATAAAAGGTATGGGCTTTAGGCTCAGACAGGCCCGAATTCAAATCTGCCACTTAACTATGGGACCATGAGTACATTACTGAACTGCATCTTCCCCAATTTCCTCATCTGTCAAATGGTGCTAATTCTGCCTGGTCATAGAATTATCGTGAGGATAAAATCACAATATGTAAAATGCCCAGCATGATGCCCAGTGTGTACTAGGTTCTCAATAAATGGTAGGGGTGGGGAGCAGATACAGGATGATGGAGAAGATCTACCCTGAACTGCAGGAGGGCGTTCTAGTGGTTAGGCCCCAGGGAAAGGCTGAGCTCCCTTCCCCGGGTTGTCTGCAGCTGGCTGTGGCCTAGTGCTGTGCTCTGCTGTGTCTCAGCACCATCTGGGAACACTGGGTAAACTGAATTCCTGCCCTCCCAAGAGGACTGCCCAGTCCCAACCCCCTGCAGCCTGAGGTCAGGGCAGGCTGGACCAGTGGATCGATGGCCCAGAGGGATGGGTTCATTTGGCTCTTTATTGGTTTTCTGGGCCCTAAAGCTGCCCTTCAACTTAGGGTCTCCCTGAGCTGCACAGAAAGACCTGCCACCTACTGGGGCCAGGAAGGGGGCACAGAGGTGGTCGTTGTCCTAACACACACACCCTACCCTTTGGGGCATATGTTCTGGCACTGAGACTTCTAGGTGTGCAAACCTGTATCCTCAAGGTTTATATCTCATCATTCTCCAGCTGAATAGCATGAACCTCAAGCTCATTTGGGGTTTTCTTAGACTCCAGTGTTTCCCTTGGAAGCTCTTCTGCTCTCTCTCCAGTGTCCCTGGCTTCTACCTGTCCCCCAACCTCCCCTCCAGGGCCTGGGGCTTCTCTTGCAGCCTCTGCCTGTCCCCCAGCCTCCTGTACAGGTTCCAAGGACTCCCTTCTGGCCTCCACCTGTCCCCCAGCTTCTTCTCTAGGACCTGGGGCTTCATGTGCTTCTTGTCTTGACGGGTTTTTAGCCAACAGAGGCCGCCTCCCAACATCCTGTGGCTCTGGGGGCTCTTTGAGATCTGTGTGCCTCGGGGCCTCTCCGGGGAAGTTGACGAGCTCTGCAGGGGTCATGAGCCCATCCCCATTCAGGTCCTGGGTCTCCAGCACCTCATCCACTACGAGGATCACCTGTGGAAGGGTCTATAGTGACTGGAGATGCTCCCACGAATCCTGACCCTCCCAACAACCCCCTGCATCCCTGCCATGCAGGCTTTGAGCCCTCCTTTCACAGGGGATTCACCAGAAGAGTCATGATGAAAAACACCAAAGCCCCAGGGAGCTGGGTCTTCTTCTGGGAGAAGGGCCCCCATCCAGCAGGGCTTACCGGGTTGGTGGTGAGAGAGTCGGAAGCTCCAGGGGCCAGAGTTGCTGTCAACATGGACAACAGCTCCAGGCCATCCAGCTGTCCACTCTGGTCATAGTCGTGGAGAGCAAAGAGGTAAAGGAGAACTAAGGAAGAGAGGCTGGATGAGAAGAGGCATCAGGGGACAGGTGGATCAGGCAGGAGTCGCGGGATGGCCTGAGGTCAGTCCCAGCTCTGGCTGCCCTGGGCCTCCCGTCCACGGGCCCCATCAGCCCAGCCCCTCACCCTGCTCCCGGCTCATGTGCTCCGGCTCCTCTTCCATCCTCTCTAGTCCCTTTAGGTAGCTCTGCAGAAGTCTTGCAGAAAAGCGGAAAATCAGTCCACGAGAGGCCAGTCTGCAGCCCCAGGACTGGCCCTCGGGTGCCCCCCACCCCAGCCTACTCACTGAAGTTGCTCCTGGCCTGGCTCGAAGGGGTTGGGTAGAGGTGGATGCTGCACTTCAGGGTCCAGCCTGGAGGAGGGAGGGAAGCACCGGCCTTGCAAAGGGCCTCCTCTGAGGGCCCAGCCTCACAGCCTTCCATCCCCAAGCTCCTGGTAGAGTTCTCCCCCCAGACCCAAAGGGAGCTGCTTCTCCAGGTCCCCAAAAACCTTGTGGGGAGGAGGCCAGGATGGCCTCCTCAGAAGCAGAACCTCACTCCCCAGACTCTGCCTTTGCAGATTCCTAGCTTAGATGGTAAGTGAAAATCCCAATAAAACATCTGGTTTGGTGGAGGCCAGAGGAAGCCGCACCAAGTAGACACAAGTTGGAGATGCAAGAAACCAGCGTAGTGGGCGGCAGGACAACATGCATCATGGCAACCCTTCCTCTGTGATGCTGGGAGCCGAGGGACAGGTCTCTGGCTGAGCCCGGTGGCACTGCCCAGTTTTATACAGACCCGATTTGCTCCATGACACAAAGTGGACTCTTTTTTACCCCAAGTTGAGGGCATATATGTTGGTTTTGTAGTTTCGATCTGCTCAGGGGCTTTTTGTCAGTCTTTAAAGCTCAAGATTTGCTCGCAGTTCTGGACAGGGGTCCCTGTTGGCCCAAGTCAATCCAGATGTGTGATGCCAGAGAGCTGGCAGGAGCTGCTACAGCACCTTTTGTCACTGCTGCCAGCCCCTGCTGCTGTGGCTGTATCCGTCCCCCGACCCCACCCAGCACACCCACTGCATAGTATTAAGACATAAAACCTCAAGAAAGATATTCAAATAAAACAGAAGTGATGTGCTGATGATCTCTATTTCTTGGGAGCTTCCACTATAAGGTCTTGGTAAGAGGACTGTAGCCCCTTCCCAAGCTTATAGCCTCACATCTCATTGGAAATGAGCTCCCGGTTTCCAAGTGAGTCCAGCAAACGTGTCGATGCCCACTTTGCAGAGGGCACTCTAACGGGCACAAGGCAGAAGCTGAGGAGATGGGGATGATACAGAAGTCAGGGAGCGTACACCCAGTCTTCCGCCTCCCAGAGGGGCCCACAGCATACCTCCGATTCTCCAGAGATCCCCCTGCTCCCAGCCCACGGCCCTGCCCTCTGAATCCCGTTACCTCGTGGTGCCGTGTTTGGGAACAGCCTGACTCAGGGGCAGTAGCAGCAGCAGCACTGACATTCTCATCGTCACAGGTAACATCCTTCCTGTAGCTGGAAGTAGGAAACAGGGTTAGGGAATCAGAGGGAAGCAGTGTCTGCCACAGAGGGGGGAATCGGTGGGTTAGACAGGAACGCCTCTCTCCCTGCCTCTACCTGCCACCCAGGTGACAGGACTCCTGTGCAGGGAGGAGCCCCACGGACATCAGGAACTTTGCTCAAAATAAAGCTTATTCCGGATCCAGCATGTAAAGCGCATAACGCAGACTTGTGCTGGGGGAAGCTGTGCTGCGGGCAGGACTATCCCACTCTTGCCCTGCCAGTCCCCCAGGTGCTTGGAGAAGTGCAGTTTAAGCACATATGATGTAGTTCAGTCCACTCATTTTACGAGTGGAAACTAGTTCAGAGAGGATAAGAAAAAGGCCAAATTAGAAGTGCGTAGAGTCACAAAAAGACCAAGCCTTAAACGGGGGGAAACAGATTGTTGGTTTGTATCTGTATTTGTATTTGTATAAAAACTCACTGAAGAACAAATCAAAAGAGACTAGACTCCTTGAAATAGGTCTACACTCAGGTAGGGCTTGAAAACACAACAAATCAGGGTCAATCCAACAGTGGTCCCAAGAATTGCTATTTATTAAACACAGGAAAACCAGATCCCAATAGAAAGGAAAAAAACATAAACTTTCCTTTAGACCTGCATTGTGTAGGCCCATTGGCAGCACATCACTTGATTAAATGAAAATAGTCAAACGGAGTATCTATCAATGTGCAGAGCATGAAGCTTTCCAATTAGTCCCAGGATTGTGTACATAATCGTGTGAGTTTCTGGGGAAGCAGAAGCCCTCCAGAGCTGAGGTCTGACCTCAAACTCATCTTTAGGAAGACAAATCATCAGGTGCTTGACGGTCTAGAGCAGAGGACCAGGAACCCTCTGAAATGGTCCCTACACTTTGGCTGGCGTTGAATCTTCCTGGAGAAAGGCGCATAGCTTTCAGCAGATTCTCAAAGAGTTCCATGACCCTGATGAGGTTCAGGACCACTGCAGGGGGGACATCAGCTTCCTAAGAGCTCTTCCTAGAGGCAGTGGGCAACTGGCCAACAGGTAGATACATGTGTAGCTGTGCAAATAGAGCTGCCTTGAGGAAGAAGCAGCACAACACAGAAGTCCACAAGAAGGTGAAGCTCCCGAGAGTCATAGAAACTGTCTCTGTTTTTCTAGACGTACGTGGGCCCCAACAGATATAGTGAGTCTACATAGTTTGTAGACTAAGACCTGCTGCAACCAAAAAAAAAGAGCATCATGGAGGAGATAATAGGGGAAAAAAAAGAACCTAGGGCTTCCCTGGTGGCACAGTGGTTGACAGTCCGCCTGCCGATGCAGGGGACACGGGTTCGTGCCCCGGTCCGGGAAGATCCCACATGCCACGGACTGGCTGGGCCCGTGAGCCATGGCCGCTGAGCCTGCGCGTCCGGAGCCTGTGCTCCGCAATGGGAAAGGCCACAACAGTGAGAGGCCCACGTACCACAAAAAAAAAAAAAAAAAAAAGAGAACCTAAAAAATAATTAAAAAGGAAGACAAATAGAAAGCATAAAATAAGATGGTAAAAATAGATCCAAGTAGGGCTTCCCTGGTGGCACAGTGGTTGAGAGTCCGCCTGCCAATGCAGGAGACACGGGTTCGTGGCCCTGTCCGGGAAGATCTCACATGCCGCAGAGCAGCTAGGCCCGTGAGCCATGGCCGCTGAGCCTGCGTGTCCAGAGCCTGTGCTCTGCAACGGGAGAGGCCACAACAATGAGAGGCCCACGTACCACAAAAAAAAAAAAAAAAAAGATCCAAGTATATCATAAATTGTATAAACATAAATTGTATAAACTCATAAATTGTAATAAACATAAATTGTATAAACTCATCAGTTAAGAAATAGAGATTATCAAAAGGTACATAAAACAACATACAAGTTACATGCAATTTTCAAGAGATTAACCTAAAAAGTAAAGTCACAGAAAACAAAACGGTAGAAGAAAGATATATAAAGCAATACTAGAGGAAAGAAAGCTGGCAGAGTTTTATTGACATTAGAATAAATAGAATTTAAGGTGAAAAGCATTATTATAGATAAAAAAGTATCATGACAAAATGCACAAAAGTTTAATCCCCTAGGAAGATATAATGATTCTGAACCTGTATGTACCTAATAACATAGCCTCAAAACACCTAAAACGAAAACTGGCATAACACTATCACCTGTTAGAATGACCAAAAATCCAGAACATTGACAATACCAAGTGCTGACAAGGATGTTGAACAGCAGGAACTCTCATTCATTGATGGTGGGAGTGCAAAATGGTACAGTCGCTTTAGAAGACACTTAGGTGATTTCATTCCAGACTAAACATGTTCTTACCATACAATCCACCAATTAAACTCCTTGGTATTTAACCCAAAGGAGCAGAAAACTCATGTCCACACAAAAACCTGCTCACAGACGTTTATAGCAGCTTTATTCACAATTGCCAAAATTTGGAAGCAACCAAGATACCCTTTGACAGGTGTATGGATAAAGAAATTGTGGTACAAAAAAAAAAAAAAAAAAAAAAAAAAAAAAAGAAATTGTGGTACATCCAGACAAAGAATATTATTCAGTGCTAAAAAGGAATGAACTATTCAGCCATGAAAAGACACGGAAGAATCTTAAATGCATATTACTAAGGGAAAGAAGCCAATCTGGAAAGGCTACACACTGTATGATTCCAATTGTATGACATTCTGGAAAAAGCAAAACTATGGAGACAGTAAAGAGATCAGTGGTTGCCAGGGACTGGGCGTGAAAGGGATGAATAGGTGAAGCACAGAGGATTTTCAGGGCAGTGAAAATACTCTATATGATATTATAATGATAGATACGTGTCATTATAGATTTGTTCAAACCCAAACAACACCAAGAGTGAACCCTAAGGTAAACTATGGACTTTGGATGATTACGATGTGTCAGTATAGGTTCATCAGTTCATCGTGTACCCCTCTGGTGGGGCACGTTGATAATGGATGAGGCTGTGCATGTGTGGGGCAGGAGGTATATGGGAAACCTCTCAATTTTGCTGTGAACCTAAAACTATTCTAAAACAAATAAATTCTTTTAAAAAAACTGGCATAAACACAATCAGGAAAATCGAATCTGCCATTATGGTGGGAGAATTTAACATACCTCATACAGTATTTGAAAGATTAAGCAGACCAAAAATTAGTAAGAATGTAGACGATTGAATAAAATATTTTCTAAGCCTGAGCTAATGAACAAATAGAGAACCCAACTCCAGTCACTTAGCAAATACATTTTCTTCTCATGTGGAATATTTATAAAAACTGACAAGCAACAGGCCAAAGAATATGGCTCAGCAAATATTAAAGAATCAGTCTCATACTGTTACATGACTAAATGCAATTGTATTAGGAATCAATAACAAAAATGATGTAAAAATCTCATTTATATAAAAAATTTAAAAGGTACACTTACATATGGGTCAAAGAAGGATATCATAATGGAAATTGTTGAATACTGAGGATTGTATAATACTGGGAAAACATACATCAAAACAAGGTATGTAGCTAAAGCAGTATTAAAGGGGAAGTGGGTTGGGGAATTCCCTGGTGGTCAAGTCGTTAGAACCCGGCGCTTTCACTGCCCAGGGCCCAGGTTCAATCCCTGGTCAGGGAACTAAGATCCCACAAGCCGGGACTTCCCTGGTGGCGCAGTGGTTAAGAATCCGCCTGCCAATGCAGGGGACACGGGTGAGAGCCCTGGTCCGGGAAGATCCCACATGCTGTGGAGCAACTAAGCCCGTGCATCACAACTACTAAGCCTGAGCTCTAGAGCCTGCGAGCCACAACTGCTGAGCCCACACACTGCAACTAGTGAGCCCACATGCCACAACTACTGAGCCCGTGTGCTGCAACTACTGAAGCCCACGTGCCTAGAGCCCATGCTCCGCAATAGGAGAAGCCACCGCAATGAGAAGCCCTCACACCACAACAAAGAGTAGCCCCCGACTCGCACGCAACTAGAGAAAACCCACACGCAACAACGAAAACCCAATGCAGTCAAAAATAAATAATAAATAAATTTTTTTTAAAAAAAGAGAGAAAAGATAAAACTTTTTTTAAAAAAAAAGATCCCATAAGGTGTGTGGTGCGGGGGTGGGGGGAATATATATATACACACACATATATATATATATATATATATACACACACATATATATATACACACACATATATATATACACACATATATATACATACATATATATATATATATATATATGTATAGGAGAATTGGGTTGACTTAAAAACTTATATTGGAAGAAAGGCCAAAAGTTAATGAGTTAAGCTTCCAACTCAAGAAGCTAGTAAAAGAGAATAAACTTAAAGAAACTAAAAGAAATGAATAATAAAAGATAGAAGAAATTTAAAATATAATAGAGAGCAGCAACAAAGTCAAACTACAGTGTTTCTTTAAAAGAACTAATGAACTACAAAACCCCTGACAATTTTCATTAAGAACAAAGAGAAAAGGCACAAATAAACAATATTAGGAATTAAAAGGGGACATAACTACAGGAATAGAAGAAATTTGCAAACTTAGCAGATATAGCCATTTTCCCAGAAAAACTTAACAGTAAAACTGACATCAAAATAAATAGTAAATTTTAATAGTCCTATAACCACTGAAGAAATTGAATCAGTGAGTATTAACCTATATTGTTTGAGGAACTATAGACGTGAACTATTTCTGGAGAGTAATCTGTAAATGTGTATTAACTGCCGTAAAACCCCTACCCAACAATATCATCCTGGGGATTACGTAAGGAAAAACACAAACGGAAAAGAAATTATAAAGATATTTATAGCTGTGCTATTAATATTAGTCAAAGAACTGTAAACACCTGTAACATTTAGGCAATGATTAAGCAAATCCTATTATGTGACAGAGCCATTAAAAATGATAAATATTTCATGGGACTTCCCTGGTGGTCCAATGGGTAAGACTCCGAGCTCCCAATGCAGGGGGCCTAGGTTTGACCCCTGGTCGGGGAACTAGATTCCACATGCATGCCTTAACTAGGAGTCCGCATGCCGCAACTAAGGAGCCCGCATGCTGCAACTAAAAGATTCCCGAATGTTGCAACTAAAGATCCCGCATGCCACAACGAAGACCCCGCGTGCCGCAATTAAGACCCAGCGCAGCCAAAATAAATAAATTAATATTTTTTTAAATGATAAATATTTCAAATTCATGTTTTAAAGGAAAAAATTGACAGATTTGAGCATATCAAAAGTTTAAACTTCTGTATTATGAAAGACACTATGAATCAAGTTCAAGAAGACAAGTGATGGAGGACTGGAGGGAACAGGGTTCAAGGCTATTTGGATTTTCAGCAGGGTGGAGTTCACCACCCCCACCCCCAGCAGAGGCTTGGAGACAGAAATCTCCGTAGAGACCCCACGGAAACTGAGTGGAAATCCAAGAACGGCAGAGTTATGTGCCTAACCCGTGAGGATTAGAGAGAAGGCCCTGCCCACAGTGTTCTTGGCGGTTAGGAAGCAATGGCTTACAGAGGGTCTAGGCAAGTGGACAGGAGGGCTGCCTCACCCAGTTCTTGGTATCCAGCGTGCTGCTGGTTTAAAGAGAGGGGTCTGAGGGCTCCAGGCTCTAAGGTGGAAGGAGGGGCACGAAATGACTGAGAGGGCCAGCTGGCCAGAAGAGGCCAAAAGGAGAAGGCCAGAAGATATAGACCCAGGACTGGATGCCACAGAGGACATCATGGGAAGTACCAGTCGAAGTCAAGACCTTGAGTGACAAGGACCAGGAAGGCGAGCCTTTGTAGGGAAGGCAAGTGTAAATATAAGTTTATAGAGTAAGGGCTAATGGTACTCATTTCTTTAATATTTATTGGGCACCTACTATATGTGAGGCACTATTTTATAAGTAAGATGATAATATTAGGTAAAATTACCTATTATTTTTCCTCCTTAAAGTTTACATATTTATGTAAGTAGGAAATGATACAAATGTTAAAGCAATGATGAAGAGAAAAACAGAGAAACACAGAATTGCTAAGGAGTAGGTGGCATAGCCCAAAGTTTAAGGGTATGGGCCCTAATCTCTGGCTGCCTAAGTTCAAATCCAGGCTCTGCAACTCACTAGCTGTGTGCCTCCTGTGTTTCAGAACCTCGGTCTGTTAACATGAGGTTGGTGAGAGCACCTCTTGGGGTGTGGTGAGGATTAAATGAGACAAGACGTGTAAAGCGCAGCGCCTGGTTATACAATAAGGCATCTTCCTTCCAGAAGTTTCTCTGGATTGCTCTGTAGTAGCTTCACACCATCCTGGTCTTCCCACCTGGATACCCTCAAATTGCTTTCTCCTCCCATCTGTTAACTGCCAGGACCTAGGCTACCAGGAGGCACAGGAGTAATTTAAATCCCTCAGAGCTGTCAAAACCTATTATCCAGACTTAATGTGTTATCATCACTAGGAGTTGCCTTTTAAAAAAGGACATTTGGAAACAACAAAGAATGACTCTGGTGGTAGCAGTTCAGGGATAAAGGGGAAACACCTATCGGATCCCACTAATCCAGTCACTCATTAGGCCAACTGTGCTGGTTTGAAAAACATCTACCTATTCTTTCTTGTGGGAAGTAGCTGGAGTTAAATTTGCCTTTCCTTGTATATGATCTGGACTTAGCGACTCACTTCAAACATATAGCAGAAATGTGACCTCCAAGTCTGAGTCATAAAAGGCAACACGGTTTATGCCTGTTTCTGGTTCTCTCTCTCCCTCTCTTGACATGCAGATATGCTTCTCTGGAGCTCTGAACCGCCAAGGAAGAAGTTTGCCACGCTGAAAAGACCACGTGGAGAGAGCACATAGGGATAGGGATGCTTGAGGAGCCCCAGTTGCTCTAGCCTCCAGCTGCTCACTTCCCCAACCAAGGGCCAGGCAGGTGAGAGAGCAAACCTGTAGATCATTCCAAGCCCCAGCCTTCGAGCTGCCCCAGCCAACACTGATGGAGCAGAATTGAGCTTGCCTTCTCTGCCCTACCCAGAATGTACACTCATAGGCAAAGTCAATGTTATTGTTTTCAGCCACTGAGTTTTGAGGTGATTTGTCAAGTTGTCATAATGATTAGAACTGCCTTCTTGGCAGTCACACAGGGCCCTGCTCTCAACAGGGCCCTGGGCTTAGTTTAATGCTCTGCTGTCTCTGTCTTGAAATTCTTAATCTTATTTTTGCACTGAGCCCTGAAAAGTAAGACCTGGTCCTGAACCCTGCCCACATGAATTACTCTTACTCTCCTCCTCTTGGTCCTATGTCACATGTGTGCAACTATTCAGCATGTGCAGTGGACAGAGGACAGAGCTATGGAACCAGCCAGCCCTAGGTTCAAATCCCAGCTCCACCACAGACTGTCCCCGTGACCTCGGGTAGGTTACTTACCCTCACTAAACTTATCTGCATAATGGACATAATAATAGTACTTACGTCACAGAGTTACAGTGAATACTAAGTGGATAATGAATTACTCATCACACAAGGAGTCTCTTATTCTTGTCCCTGCCTCTGCTATTTTCTCGATTTAAAGAACCCTCCATACGTAGAGTACTCTTCCTTTGCTGGAACTCCACTGCTCCAAAACCTTCAATGGCTCCCTGTTTCTATTACAGTCCAGAGTCTTCACCTGGACATTTAAGGCCTTCTACAATCAGATATCAAGTTACCATTTTAGACTCATCTTCCAGTGCTCCATTATACTAACACTGCTTCAGACAGAGGGGTTACTGGAGTCTGCGAAATACTTTTCATTTTCACTGTGCAGTGCTTTTGCCCAAGCTGTTCCACCCTTTACCTGGAACATCCTGCGCCCTCCTGACAACCCTAGCACTCTGGTTTCAGTCCACTTCAGAAACAAATAATTGCATGTGGACTTTTAGTGTCATCTCAGTAATATTCTCCTAAGTCATGCTTCCAAACATGGCATTTTTAGTACAGGTAACTCACCTCTGTTATATAAAGGAAGTCAGGCTAAGGCACCTCAAGTAATGTGTAATGAGGTTGGTGTAATGTGATTGCTTCACACTTTCACATTTCTAACTACAGTATTTACAAAAGCTTTTATAAGCAACAGAAATAGAGCAGCTACTGAACAACTTCCTGTCAAATAAAAATGTTCCTCATCATTTTCTATAACGTGCATAAACATAATTTACCCTAATGACCACAGAAAAGCCACCACAACTGCTAGAGTTGTGATATAATTCAATAAAGTTATTCACATCACACTCACACACACACACACACACTCACAATGATCCTCTAGCCTCTGATTTCTTCAAGCCTTTGCACCAGTGCATGGGAGGAAAGCCTGGCCTTGCAGTTAGACCTCTGATCAAATCCAGCCTCTCACAGTACTAACAGTGTGATCTCAGCAGGTGTCTCCGTGTCTCTGAGCTCTGGCACCTTCACTTTAAAAACTGAGGATAGTGGTATCTACCTTGTAGGGGCTGGGGAAGGATGCAATGGAATAATGTAGGTTGAGTGCATGGCAGTGAGTAGATGCTCCCTGAGTATTTCAGAGACTCTAGGATGTGGCGGGGCCTTTTCTCTTGCTTGACTTCCCAACCAGTGCAAAACTGCTTGCACAGCATGCCTGTCAGTGGCCATCAGCCTCCACTGGACTTTCCAGGACAGGAGCCTACCACCCACAGGGCACGCATTCCATTTCTGCCTAATTCGAACTGTCAGAAGTAATTCTGAGCTCAATCCTCTCCCTTAACTTATCTCTCCAGGGCCGCCTGTGACTCCCAGCACCTCCCACCCCCCGGCGCAAGAGAAGAGGCACTGGCTATACAGCCAAATGGGTCCCACACCTGAGAGCTGGGCTTCCCCTGCCACTTCTAGCTGGGTGATAACCTCGACCCCTCCCCGGTCCCCCTTTTCCTCCGCTGTCAAATGAGGATGAAACTCCTGCCAGCCTCCCCTCCCCCCGGGACTGTCAAGAGCAACGAATGAGACACCGGAAGGAAAAGCCCTTGGGGGACTATGAAGCCCCCACATCACAGCGAGGGGGCTCAGGCCTTGCTTTCCAGGCCCTCCCTCTACATGCTCTCAGGGGTAACCTCGGAGAGGCGCCCAGAGGCGAGAGCCAGCGCTCCGGCGGCGTCCGAGCCGCAGGGGATGCGGAGGGACTGCGCCTTCAGCCTCCGACCTGGAGGCCAGGAGACCGCCCCTGCCCGCGGTCCCGCCCCGCGGCGCCCAGTATTCCCGGCTGCCCGCGGCGGGGTCCCCGGCCCCCAGCCCGCCAGCCCCGGGCGGGGCTCGCACCCACCTGCGGCGGCGCGGCGCGGCGCGGCTCTGGCCGGGTCCGGCTGGGTCGTCGCTCGAGGCTGTGCGCCGCCGCGGCCGCCGCGCCTCGGCTCCCGCCGCCCGGCCCTCCCCCGGGCCGCTCCACGTGGCTGCTCCACGTAGCCCTCCCGGCTGCGGCCGCCGCCCTGGCCCGGGCAGAGTCCGGAGCGCCAGCGCCGTGGCCTGGGTCTCCGCCCCGCCCCGCCTGGCCCGCAGACCCCGGCCCTCTGCGGCCCGCACCGGGCGAGGGAGAGCGTGTGCGTGAGTGTGTGCGTACAGACAACTAGAGAGAGAGAGGCAAAGAGACAGATGGTGAAGCTGGTGCGTAATGAGAAGCACGTTTAACTGGGGCTCACTCCCTGCTGGGACCCAGATGTGTGTGACAAGATAGAATGTGACTTACTGTTAGCCTGTGATTGTGACTGGTGTATGTGGCTGCGTGGATGAGAGACCTGTGACACGGTCGGGGGTGTTTCGTGTGGCTGTGTATCCAGTATGGCAGCACTTGAGAGAGTATGGCCAATGCGGGACTGTCCAGGTGTGTGACCGTACAGGATGTGAGCGGTGTGTCTGTTAGGGTATCTGGCTGAACTCTTCCTGAGTTGTGATGCTCAGGTGACACCCGTGACTGTCGGTTTCCGGTGAAGGTATCATTGTGTGACTGTGACTGCACATCACTGAGAAGTGGCTCCATATGGTGGGGGGAGGGGGGCCTGGGAAAGTATCACCTTAAGGGTGACAGTGGCAGTTGTTTGCCAGCAGCGTTGCAGTGAGTGGCTATAGCTTTGTGGTCAAAATGCAGTGTCACCAGTTTTCTCAGAGCAGCCAGTTCCTCCACCCAGGCTTCAGAGTACTTCCTCACCCACTGGCTCAAAGACTTAGTTCTTTGAATGTACAACTTCTTATCTCTCTAGAATCTTCAGCTTCTACCTCCCCATCAGCTCCTTCTCATCAGCATCCATCCACAACAACAAACTGACTCTCATCAAAGTCACCCTGTCCTCCTTCCTGTGGTGGACAGGTGGATACTGCTGGACACTACCTCCTTGGGTCATGGTATCACTGGTTTCGGCAATACCATTCCTCTCTCTTTAGTCATTTCTTCTTAGTTTCTTCATGTGTCGGAGTTCCTCTGGGCTCTCTCCTCATTCCCCATCTGCTCATGTGTTCTTCCATTCACGTAGCTTCCATCACTACCTCTTATGGGTTGAACTGTGTCCCTCAAAAATTCATACGTTGAAGTCCTAATCCCCAATGCCTCAGAATGTGACTTTATTTGGAAATAGGGTAGTTGCAGATATAATTAGTGAAGATGAGGTCATACTGGCGTAGAACCTAATCCAATATGACTGGTGTTCATATAAAAAGGGGAATTTGGACACACACACACACACACAAGGAAAACAGCATGTGAAGATGCGGGCAGAGATTGGAGTGAAGCTTCTACATACCAAGGAATGCTGAAGATTTTCAGCAAACCGCCAGAAGCTAGAAGAGAGGTATGGAACAGGTTCTTCCTCACTGCTCTCAGACGGTACCAATCCTGCTGACACCTTGATCTTGGACTTCCAGTTTCCAGAACTGTGAGACAATAAATTTGTTGTTCAAGACAACCAGTTTGCAGCACTTTGTTATGGCAACCCTGCCAGCTAATATATCATCTAAATGCTGATAACTGCCATATCTCAAATTCCAATCTCTGAGCCCCAGACCACTTCAGGAACTGAACAGCCTACTGATTTGTGCCGGATCTTAATTTTTAAAGGTGACTGAGTGACAACACAGAGAGGTCAATGCCACTGAAAGAAGAGTTTAATGTTACAGTTCCCTCAGGAAGAAGAGGCACAGCTCACCACACAGGACCACAGAGGGAAGCACCAGTGTAGGTCAGAAGGCAGAAAGGAGCAAGGAGAAGGCACAGGCCACAGCTTTTATTAAACTAGAAAAGCAAGACGAGGCAGGTTAAACAGTTTAGGGTTGGCTAGTTTTAATAACTTCAGAGAGCTTTGGGGCATAGGGGCTGTCGCTAGTTGACTGGTCCCTGGTCCTGGGTTTATCTAGGAAAGGGAAAATATTGGTTTGGTGTGTGAGAGTTGGATAAAGGAAGTGGTTCAGAGTACGGCCTCTGGATTGCAGGGGAGATGTGAACAACTTTGGCTGTTAGTTTGGTCCTGTGATTAATGGATGCCAAAGAGACAAATTCAGAACCTAAGAAAACACAATTAGAACACCTACCAGCACCGCAGACGTGTCTGAATCAGAATGCATCATCTTCCTCCTCAAAACTTCCCCGCCCCCTGCTTCTCTATCCCAGTGTTACCACCATGCATCCCCACCTCCAACCTACTACCAAGTCCTATCAGTTCTGCCTCCTATCTTAAAGATCTTCACTCCTCTCCTGAGCTTTCCCCCAGTCCAGGCAGCCCTGGTCCACGCCAAATTTCCGTTAACAGCCTCCTAATTAGCCTGCTTTTCATCCCCCTCCAATCCATTCTCAAAGTAGCCTGAATGATGCTTCTGAAATATAACTCTGATCATGTTGCCCACCCCTTCTTAAAACTCTGACGGCTTTCCTCCACCCTTAGGATAAAGCCTAACATCCTTTATGCAGCTGCCCACAACCTGATTCCTGACCATCTCACATGCTCCAGCAACACCAAATTTCTTTTGGTTCCTTTAAGAAGTCTCTCACATCCAGGCTTTTGCTTGTGCTCTTCCCTCTCCTGGAACAATTACTCTCTCCCCGCCTCCACCTTGTCTTGGAAACTACTACTTATTTTTTGATTTCGCCTTAAATGTATTGTCATTTAATATCTGGGTGTGCTTTCTCTGATCCATGGAGTCTGGGCACCCTCCCCGGGGCTCCCACTGCAGCTAGTACTTCCCTTATCTACCACCATGCTCTGTTGCAGGGGTTCAACCGTGATTACACATTTGAGTCTTCCAGAGAGATTTTAAGTTGTTATTAATACTTAGGCTCCTCTCCAGACCAACCATAACAGCGGGTGGGGCCTGGGCACCGCTAGTTTTAGAAACTCAGATAATTCCATTCGTCAGTCAAGGCTGAGTCATTGCTCTAGTAGATTACTTACTTGTTTCCATATCCCAGTGAAGACAGGAACAGCATCCCAAGTGCCTGGTACACAGTGGGTGATGAGTAATTATCTATTGTACTTGTGACAGGGATTGTATGAGGCAGTGTAGAGTGACACTGGACGAGTGGCTTTAACCCATGTGTGTGTGACTCTGTGCGGAATGGCACTCACTCAAGCAGCTGAAACTTGACCACGTGACACTGTGGGGTGTGGGTGTGAATGATCGTGTCCAGTGTGTGAGGGCCACTGTCAATGACTGAACACTACGGGAGTGGAGGAGTGTGACCACGTCAGTGGCTGTGCCCTGTGTGTGACTGACTGAGAGGCTGGGGGGCTCTGGCCAGGCTGTCAGACTCGCCGCTCCGGGGCAGGGTTTGAGGAAGAAAGAGCTGGAGCTGCCCCTCAAGATGGCGCCTGCGGGGAAGGCCGCTAGTCCTCACAAGAGGCCGCAGGGCCGGTGACCGCGAAGCGGAGGCAGGAGCCGTAGGGGCGCGAGACCCGGCCCGCGGGCCGCGGGGCCATTCGCAAGACACTGGGGTCAGCTCCGCGCAGACTGCCCAGGCGCGGTACACACACCCCCCTCGACGTCCTAGCACCGCCCTCGCCACGCCCGCCGCCGGGAGCACGGGCGGTGGGCGGGGCCTGGGTCCCCGAATCGCCGGGCAGTGCGGGCGGAACCCGCACAGGCTGTCCAATGGCGTGTAACGGGCGGGGCCTAGCGCGCACCTGCGGGCCCACTAATCGAAGCTCAGGCGTCAGAGCCGGTCAAGAACTTGGGAGTGGAGACTCAGCAACGCGAGAGGCTGAGCTCCTCCCTGGGCCCCCAAGATGACACCTGGACAGAATCCTTCTCTCTGCTTTTGGGACTTGGCGCTGCCCTCTACTTGGGCTACTACTGGGCATGGGTGGCCCCGGTGGGTGCGGGTCCAGAGCTCTCTCCGGCAGGTGTAGGTAACTCGAGTCTGAGGGCAGCTTCCAGCCGGGGCTCGAGCCCTTTGTGGAGGCTGGCTCGGTGGGGTCTCCTGGCCCAGGTGAAATTTGACGCCACAGCCCCACCACCACTCCGGCCCCGCGCTCCAGCCAGGCTCAGCTTTGCTACTATCACCTAACGGAGAGTCGGTTCTTTGCCTGCCTGGATTCTCTGCATCCCGCGTACTCCTCATGCCAGCTGGACCTTTCAGTCATCGGAGGGGTGCTGCTGCCGATGATGTGGACAAACACTTGCAGGAAAGCGGGGTGGAAGGCATCCTGAGCTGTCAGGGAGATACGCACACTATCTTTTTCTTTTTAGGCAGTCTAGATGAGCTGCTCATTAGCTGCTCTGAATGAAGGAACCAGTTGGTGGGGTGGTGGCTAACTCCCACCATCATCCCATCAGCTTAGTAGGACCTTGCTTCTCTTAAGGACTGGCAGAGGTTCCCCGCCTAGCTCAGGACTAATGGATAACCCTAACTGTCCTTGCTCATTCAGCCCTGTTTTAAGTTCTAGGCTCTCCATGTAGAGTGCAATGGAAAAATCCGAAGAGGATGATTTTGATGAACTTGGAAATTTTATTCTCACTGAAATTTATGTAATTTACATAGCCACAAAAATCTAAATCTTTTAATTTTCATTAAACTCGGTTCTAAGTAGCTGAGTCTAACAAGAAACCTATTGATTCAAGCCCTTTAAAATGATCTATAGGGAAATTTAATGTTACCTCAACTTTTCTGTATTTTCAGAGCTTTATACATCCTATGTATTGTTTATAGAATACATTTGCCTTAGTAAAACAATTTTAAAAATCCATACCTCACAATACCCTATAAACCTTACCTTATATGCCTGATTTGGAAAGTCAGTCATTTCAGAACAGAGCTGTCTTGAACTAAACATTTTCCTTTGCTTACAACCATCCACAGAGAAGTCAGAGACCTCTGCCACTTTATACCCCAAATCCTTCTTTGATTTCCAAATACTGGTTTAAATGCAGAGAAAGTGTCATTCTGGACACTCTGAGGACATGCAGTTTGGATTGTCCAGCATGGTAATGGATTGGAATTGATTCATCCACAGTGACTAATGGCATTTAACTAATTAATTCTCAGGGATAAGTCAAGAAACACTTCACTAGAGTTAAAATGAAACTAACCCACATACATCAAACCTGTGATTTATTAGCACCTTGTTCTACACAACTGAGCTGTTTGACCAAGGATTTAATAAATTGATAACTCAAAATCTTGGCAACTAGGAGGTATTATAGTAAAGTGACTAAGAGCACAAACCCTTAGTTTCAATCCCAGCTCCACTGCTAACTAGCTTTGGCACATTTTGTGACCTTTGACAACTTATTCAATATTCAAACACGTTCCCACAGGGGGATCATAGTACCTATCTCAAAGAGCTATTGTGAAGGTTATAGGATATAATCATGTAAAATGCTTAGCACAATACCTGGCACATAAGGAGCACTCAACAAATCTTACTAGTATTGGTGGTAATATCATAGTTATTTTTTACACTTTTTAATAGAAGTATAGTTGATTTACAATGTGTTAATTTCTGCTGTACAGCAAAGTGATTCAGTTACACAATTTATATACAATCTTTTTTAATATTCTTTTCCATTATGGTTTATCATAGGATATTGAATATAGTTCTCTGTGCTATACAGTAGGTCCTTGTTGTTTATCCATCCTGTATATAAAAGTTTACAACTGCTAACCCCAGCCTCCCAGTCCATCCCTCCCCCAACCCCCGCCCCCTTGGCAACCACAAGTCTGTCCTCTATGTCCGAGTCTGTTTCTGTTTCGTAGATAGGTTTGTTTGTGTTATATTTTAGATTCCACATATAAGTGATATCATATGGTATTTGTCTTTTTCTGACTTCACTCAGCATGGTAATATCTAGTTGCATCCATGTTGCTGCAAATGTGTGTGTGTGTGTGGTTTTTTTTTAACGGCTGAGTAGTATTCCATTGTATATATGTACCACATCTTCTTTATCCATTCATCTGTCAATGGACATTTAGGTTGTTTCCATGTCTTGGCTATTATGAATAGTGCTACTATGAACATAGGGGTGCACGTATCTTTTTGAATTAGAATTTTGTATGGATATATTTTGTATGGATTGCTGGATCATACGGTAATTCTATTTTTAGTTTTCTGAGGAACCCCCATACTGTTCTTCATAATGGCTGTACCAACTTACATTCCCACCAACAGTGTAGGAGAGTACCCTTTTCTCCATATCCTCTCCAGCATTTGTTATTTGTAGAGTTTTTAGTGATGGCCATTTGGACTGGTGTGGGTTGTTACCTCACTGTAGTTTTGATTTGCATTTTGCTATTAGAGTCATTGAGCATCTTTTCATGTGCGTATTAGCCATTTATATTTCTTCTTTGGAGAACTGTCTATTTAGGTCTTCTGCCCATTTTTTTCTGCCCATTTTTCGATTGGGTTGTTTATTTTTGTTGTTGTTGAGTTGTATGAACTGTTTGTATATTTGGGAAATTAAGCCCTTGTCGGTCTCATTGTTTGCAAATATTTTCTCCCATTCTGTAGGTTGACTTTTCATTTTATGGTTTCCTTTGCTGTGCAAAAGCTTGATTAGAAAAAGCTTGACCTGCAAAAGCAGATGTAATCTTGATTAGGTCCTATTTGTTTATTTTTATTTCTATTGCCTTGGGAGGCTGACCTAAGAAAATATTGGTACAATTTATGTAAGAGAATATTTTGCCTAATATCATAATTATTATTCCACTTTGCCTTTTGCTAGCTGTGTGACTTTGGGCAAACAACTTAACCTGTCATAGTTTCTTATAATAAGGTTGGGTTTAGCCTAGTGCCAGCAAATAGCATACAATGAATCACAGGTGTTATTATTCCAGGGCTTAAGGCCCAGGGTACGAGTCACAACAGTCACAGTACCAACCTGGCCTCTCTAGTTCATAATTTACGTAGCCCCTTTTGACTGCAAGAAGAAATAGGAATCTGGTCCTTGGGTCCCTTCAGGCCTGCAACAGAAATGCAATTTCTATTTCTTGAGTCTGAGGCCTTCTGTCTTTGTACAGCATACTCCCCCTTCATAAGCCTTCTATGTGGCTGGGCCCTCTCATTCACTTGATGTGTATCCAGAGAACCAAGCAGAGAGGTTGAAAGATAGGGCTAAGTGCCCAATGACATCATCTGGCCCACCATCCTATCCCTGTTACCTTCCTCCTGGCTGGCATGAAGAAACAGAAAATCTGTTCCCATTGGGACTATTCCTCCTTTAGAGCATGGTCTAACAGCAGGGGCTGTTAAGTAAGAAAATGAGGTGGTGAGGTACAAAGAAGCCCTTCAGCAGGGAGCACATGCAACAGGGAATGGGAATATGCAAAAATGGAATGCTAAAATCAGAAGGAGCCAGCGTGACCGGAGCTAGTTTTGAGACGAGAGTGTGGATAATTCAACTGGCAGAAGTGTAGACAATTCAAAAGGCAAAAGTCACAGATTAAATGGTGCTGCATTTCTTCAGCCTCTGTCCAGGATCCCAACCTTTCCTGCAGATCAGCTGGGCAACTTATATTACCTGCTCTCTCCAAAATGAGTTTGGGGCATGGATAGGTTGAGTGTGGCAGTCGGTTCAGGGGCAATTCTGGAGAGGTGACACTCTAGGACTGGAGCTGGGGTCCTAGTGGGACTATCTTAACAGAGGTGACTTGACCATTCCAGATTGAGGTATGCTAGATTTCTCACGCCCAGACAAAGCAGTGCCCTCCAGGCTGGCCTCTGGAAAGGGGTCACTCTGGTATCAGGTACCTCACTGGCTTGGCGCAAAAATCAGGGGAGTGAGGCACATCGTGTTGTGTGACTACAGAGGCCACAACTGGTGACTGGGTCCCAGTTTCTGGCCTTCCTGGAGGGACACTGTCCAGTCACTGTGGAGACTTTCTACCCTACGCTCTGGTGTTTTGAGGGGCGGCTACAAACCATCTTCAGAGTCTTACTGCAGTCTCCGCCTGTAGCCCCTTACTCAAGGTAAGAAGGGACAGATGGGGGTGAACATGAAGCTGCAAGTACAGGGGAATCCTACTCGTGTACCTCTTTTAAAATGGGGGTAACCTTTGACCCATCTACCTCAGTGTGCTAAGGGTAACCAGAGTGGCTATATGCAAAGGCTATTTAATTGCACAACCATGAGGTAATACTCAAATCTTTTATGTCTCATTATACCTCGTTACAGTCTTAATGTTTTGCATAATGCATGCCCTCAAATGATGCTGGTAACTTGTGGGAGTTGTTTGGGGAGGGAGAGGAGGGCATAAAATCTTTCGAAGTACATGGAGTTCCTAATAGTAGTATCTTTCTGTGCCCTTTTCTCCAAAACCACAGGGAAGTTCTCGAAACCCTGGATAGAGGACAGCTCCTCCTAGACTGGGCCAGCCATCCTAACAGCAGTCAATATCCTGACCCTACCACCCAGCCATTGTTATTGCTGCTTCCTGGTATCACGGGCAGTAGTCAGGAGACATATATCTTGCACCTAGTTGACCAAGCTTTGAAGGATGGCTATAGGTAAGGATGGACACAGTCCAGCGGAATTGGGTGGTGTCTGATAATTTATAATTGTGTGTGTTGGGGGTCGGGGGAGGGTCAATTCATACCCTGCTAGCTATGGGGAGGAGGTGCCATATGAAGGGTACCATTTGACGGAGGCCTTTCTGAAACCTACCAAAAGGGGAGAGGAGCCCTTATAGAGGGTCTGCCTAACATGTACGTGGGTGTGCCACAGGGCTATCGTATTTAATAACCGGGGCTGCCATGGGGAATAACTGCTGGCGAGTACCCTCCTTCCTCGTAGTGGCCCTTCACCCCGCTCCCTTCAGAGACCCTGGGCCCCAACCTACCTGTCTTCCATTTCTTGAGTCCTTTCACTTTTCTGCCTTCTGGTCAGGGCCTCCTTCCCTACCCAATGATCCGGTTTGCCTCAGACCTACAGGGCCCTCTGTGCCAGCAACACTGAAGATCTGGAGACAGTCGTGCACCACATAAAGAGCCACTACTCCCAAGCTCCACTGCTGGCTGTGGGCATCTCTCTCGGAGGGTGAAGGCTGCCTGCACTTAACCCAAAGGCCCAGTCTTCCTTTTTCTCTTTCCTCCTCCATGTTTTCTCCCGTTCTCCTGTTCCAACTCACCAATACAAACCCTTCTTTCATGGCCCCTGGGCCAATCCTGCAGGATATTAGCTGAACCACCTGGCTCGAATGGGACGGGCTGCGGGGTTGGTGGCAGCACTGACTCTACCTGCATGCTGGGATACCTCTGAGACCACCTGCTCCCTGGAGACCCCACTGAACTCACTGCTCTTCAGTCAGCACCTCACTGCTGGGCTCTGCCGAGCTGTGAACCGGTAGGGTCTTGACAAGTGGAAAAGGGAAGCAGACAGGGTAGGATGGCAGACATGCCAGGTTCTCCCAGTGCTCGGGTCAGTTCCCTATCTGGATTTTCTCACTCATGAGATAGGACAGAGGCTGGCTCTGGGTCAGGTCCAGGAGTAGAGCCAAAGCCCTATGTGTTCTTTTTTTTTTAATTTTTCTTTTTGGCTGCGTTGGGTCTTCATTGCTGCGCGCAGGCTTTCTCTAGTTGCGGCGAGCGGGTGCTACTCTTTGTTGTGGTGCACGGGCTTCGTTGAAGTGGCTTCTCTCATTGCGGAGCACAGGCTCTAGAGCGTGTGGGCTTCAGTAGTTGTGGCTCGCAGGCTCTAGAGCACAGGCTCAGTAGTTGTGGCACGTGGGCTTAGTTGCTCCACGGCATGTGGGATCTTCCTGGACCAGGGGGTCGAACCCGTGTCCCCTGCATTGGCAGGCGGATTCTTAACCACTGTGCCACCAGGGAAGTCCCACCCTATGTGTTCTTTTGCAGAAACAGAAAGGTGATGGAAAAGGTGGTGAATGTAGACTTTGTGCTACAGGTAGAGTCTTTCAACTCTCCCCTCTCGGCCCAAAACTGTTCTTCCAACACCTTATTCCCTTTCCTCATCCTAGCCTATCCCACCCGCCACCACCTGCAGGCCCACACAATCCACCACTTTGATGAGCGCTACACAACTGTGGTCTTCGGATATCAAGACCGAGCAGCAAGCCCAAGAGCCAAGGCAGATGCCATCCAGCTCCCTGTGCTCTGCCTCAATGCAGCTGGTGACCCCTTCTCCCCGGTCCACGGCGAGCACCTGGGATCTGGACGCTTCAGGCCCCGGGGGAAATGGGCCATGCAGTGCAAGTGGAAAGAGCCTGGGCTCTCAGCAGAGGCCAGGGCTCCTGATCTCCTCTCCAACGCCTCCTAGCCCTTCCCCTACAGGCTGACCAACATTCTCCCCACGTTGCACTGCTCGTCACAGCTCGGGGTGGCCACATCGGCTTCCTGGAAGGACGGCTTCCCTGGCAGCACTGCTACATGAGCCGCCTCATGCATCAGTATGCCAAAGCCATCTTCCAGCACCCAGCAGAGCTGCTCAGCCTCAGGGCACCCACTCCTCCTGAGGGAGGCAAAAGCTGACAAGAGTACCATCTGGAGCCTCAGTTCAGTCTTCGCTTGTTTATTAAATATCAACTTTTCCTGCCTAATGCGCTCAAGTTCATTTTCCCTTTTCTCAAGGCTAGGGTAGACTGTCCAGGAATTTACTGCATATTTGGCCTGGCTGGCTTGGAGCTACCCAGCTGAACCCAAAGATGACTGCCTGGTTCTTCCTTTTGCCCCTTCCTTCTCTAATACCAAGTCCCAGGCCAGTGCTTTTCCCAGCAAATGCCAGGAGCTCATGTGAAGAGCAACTGGCCACGAGGCGGTAAGGGGAGAAGAAAACGACTGTTTCTGCAGGAAGGACAGCAGTGCCTCCAGGTTCTTGGGCATCTTCACATATTTCTGGAGAAAGGACAAGCTCAACTATGGAGCCTCTGGTAGGCAGAGGGAAGGAGACAGGTGGTGTGGCCTGGCCTTCAGACACCACTGTCCTGGGCGGATCCACAGATGACGAATGCAAGGTTCCCAGGACTCAGTGTTGCACAGGGCCACAGCCAAGCTTTAACTGGAAAGGGCAGGCGTTGCCCATTAGTCTCATCAGAGGCAACCTCAGCTGTGAACCCAGATGGAGCGAGCAGTGGTAGGCCCACACTGGTCTAGAAGGTGGCAGTGTCCAGGCCCCTGGCTCCCTGGGAGCAGGGAGGCTAAAGAAAAGCTGGAAAGGCCCTCTGGAGCAGCAGGATGGTCATAACGATAAGCCCGACACACAGCAGCAGCAGCAGCCATATAGGAACACTCCCTGCAAGGGGGGGAGGGAAGGAGTCAGGAGGCAAAGGAGCATCACAGCCCAGAGAACAGAACCATTCAAGAAGGGGGTAGTGGCTACAGATAAGCATCCCATTCCCCAGGAGGCAAGTTTTCGCTACAGCGAAAGCTGGGGTGGTTCCCCCACCGCACCCACCCCAGTGACTCACGTCGTGAGGGCAGCAGGTGTAGCTGGCAACGGCTGTCAACAGCCACAGAAAACAGAGCAGTTTCCTGGGACCCAAGGAGCTCTGGACCACGACCCTTCTCAGGTAGAAAGGCCACATCCGTCACCACGATGCCATGGGCCTCCTTCACGTAGTACAGGCGCTGGGGACAGGAGGAAAACTAGTGAGGGAAGGCCCAACTGGGAACATTCCTTCCAGAAAACACGGCCTCTGCCCCCAGAAGACTTTCCCGCTACAGGCTGGGCCTGACTCCTTCCGGCACGCTCAGTGCAGAAGCAGGCCTAGAATCCCCACCCCAAAGAGCCCTCAGGGCTGTGCCCACCTCCACCCATTACCTGGAGAGAGAAAGCTATGTAGATGGCAACAGAGCCAGTGACCGTGCCCAGGCCTAGGAAGGTGCCCGATTCACTGCAACAAACAATAAAACGCTCACTGTCCTGGAGTCTGTGCAGCAACAACAGTCCTCAGGGACTCAGGGCAGCACGTCTCCCTGAGCTCCCCCTGGTCCCCCCATACCCAGCCAAGCCACCACTGTCTCACACCTGACGCTAAGGCAGGAGATGACTTCATGGCCACAGGACTTGGTCCGAAGGGGCAAGAACGTGGAGCCATCCCAGGCTGTGAGGTAGCAGGGCGGGGGCTGGCGCAGACGCTTGTGGGGAATCTGCACCGTGAAGAGTCGCAGCCCAGCAGGCTGGTCTGGAACCTGCCCAAACCTGGGGGCCGGGCGAGAAGCTGTTCAGCTCCTGGGGCCTGCCCAACCCTCCTCAGAGGTGTGTGCCCTCCTGCACCCTGGTGAGGCCTAGGGTAACACCCGACAGGGCTCCGACCCTCCCCAGCTTCCCCCCAGTCTCCTCCCACTCCCCCACATCGAGGCTGTGCCTCTTTCAGCCACCCTCTGGGGTCTTCACACCTGCAGGCCTGGTAGCGGTAAGGCGTGTTAGAAAAGGTGGGTCCGTTCTCTTGCCAGTGCAGCTGTGTCACCAGCTGATCCTTCTGCCACACGGAGGCCTTAAGGTCCCAGCCCACAGTTACCAACTAGTCAGGAATCAAGATTCCAAGGATGGACGGTTAGGGGATCCACTTACTGGGCAAGCAGCATAATCACCTACTTTCTCCACCCTCTCAACTCCTCACCTTGCCATCAGGCCCCAAAGCCAGGTCCTCAATCTCCCCTTCGTGGGCTTTGAACTCCAGAACTTTCTCCAAGGTGGGTACCTGCAGCCAAACCACCACCATAGTTAGCCTAGGTACCCGGCAAGAGCGCAATGATACTCACCCCTCTTCTCTACTAATGGCCGCTCAGTGCAGGCTTCACTCACAAGTTCCCCAGAACCCATGTTCAGTTTCTCACAATTCTGGCCTTGTTGCTACTGACACTCATCCTCTAACCTCCCAAAATCACACCTTCCAGACACGAACGTAGCCATCCGTCCCTCCAGTGGCAAGCAGGGTACTATCATTGTTGAAGCATACAACTTTCTGCAGTGGATCAGTGCTGAAGTCTGTCTGCACCGCCTGCAAATTCTCTACGCTGAATTCTATCTCCTCCTGGTGGGTTTCAGCTCCAGACTTCTCTGCTGGGGCAGCCCCTTTCCTTTGTCGAGGCCCCTGCTCCTTGGAACCTGCAACACAAACAGCCTGCCAGGTTCCAGGTTTCTCAAGTAAGTAGTACTGGCCCCCTCTCTAGTGGTGAACATCGAGCTTCTCGCCTGCTACCATAACCCCACTTCCAGCCCCACTTCGTCAGAGACCAAGATGAGAGAGATCTTACTTATTTAACCCTCTTCCCAAAGCTAGAGAGTGGGCTCTCACCTGCCTTCCCTGCCTTGTTTTTGCTCTTCTGCTGACGGATCTGGAAGCGCAGGAGCTGACAGTGGGCATCCTGCCCCGCAGCAAGGATGTTACCAGCCAGCGCCAAGTTCATGGTGGCCCGTGTTTCTGTGTCATGGGAGTGTAGTAAGGAGGCGCTAAGGCGCCCATTAATCTGCTCCAGTTGCAGAAAGTGCTGTGGGAGAGGCAACCAGGATGAGGTTCAGAGAGCACCTCAAGGGCAAACTTACATCCTATAGTCTCATGCCCTACCCCTTTGCTAACTACACTTTCTAGTTTAAAAGGCTTTTTGCAACCTTTTTTCTTTCCTGAGCCTCACGAATCTGTACAGCAAGCAAGGCTCTAGTTTGCAGGACAATGTGATGACGCTCAGAAGAGCGAAGAAACCTAGCTTCTATTTCACTCGCCGCTGCCATTAGTCTGGCAGACAAGTCTATGTGGCCCCCCTGGAAAAAGCCAGGATAAGACCCCTGGTGCTAATCCTGAGGTCGAACTGAAGCGTTCGTGCCTAGGTAGCGCTGTGTGCAGTTTTCACTTTACCTTAGGAGCCTCTCAATTGACCGGTGAGTTCTCGATTGAAATTCGCGCCGGGACGCCCGGCATGCCGGGGTTCCCACGCGGGAGGGGCCGGGTCCGAAGCAGGGGTGCGGCCCGCCCCCAGGCCCTCCCAGAATCGCCCTCAGCCCGTGGCGCGACCCGGCCCCAGGGGCACTGTACTCACCACGCCGTTCTTTATGCCGGTCTTGGCGGCGCCTCCTCCGCCCGCAGCGATGAGCAACCCAGCGCTGGGGTCGACCTGAAGCGCGTACAACGGGAACGGGGCCCGGTACAGCTCTGACCCCCGGCGCCGACCCATCCCGCTCGCCCCGCGCTTCACTGTCTGCGCCGAGGCACCGGGGACATGCCGTCCGGCCTTCGACTGCTGCTCCGGTCGCTGTTGACCTTGGTCCGGTCGCCGCCGGGAGGACTCCAGACCCCTCTCACAGCCGCCGGGCTGCTGAAACTGTAACTACACACAAGGTTCCCTATCGCTGCCGCGGGCCGCCAAACCCGGTCTCGCAGACGCGCAAGGCGCAGGCGCACCGAGCCCGCACTCCTCGCGCAGGCGCAGAGCCGCCAATACGCGTCAGCACTAGCCGGCCGCGGGCAGGCGGAGCCCCAGCTCCAGGATGCCGTTCTCCGCCCGCTTGTGAAGGCGGACTCCGCCATCTTTTTGCGGGGCGTTGGGGGCGCGCACCAGCTTCAAGGAAATGTCTTGTTCTGCAGGAGTGGGGTGGGTGGGGGCGGGGACGGGGTGTGCTAATAAAGGTTAAGGGAGGTTAATAAGCCTTTAATAAAGAAATCCGTGGATTAGGACTGTCCACACTTCAGGAGTGATACGCAGACTCGTCGAGCGCAGCCTTTACGTTTACCCAAGAGACGAAGTGATTTATCCAAGGTCTGCCTCGCACCCCACCCTCCTGAGGGGGCCCTTGGATTTCTGATCTCCAACGTGAGGACCCCGTGTTTCTCTGCAGTGAACGCTACGCTTGCCCTTGCCTGCAAGGAGGCATGTCCTGCTGCTCCCCTGGCCTTGTCAGCATGAGTCCTTTTAATCTAGGGTGCAGCCAGAGGAAGGGGCCCAGTGGCTTCATCTCTGGGGATGCCATTATCTGTCCCAACAAATCGAATTAAATGGGTGAAGGGCCTGGCAGAGCCCTCTGCACATCTCAGGTGCTCAGGGCTTATGGGTCCCTTGCCCTCCTCAGATATATGGCGCGCACTCTCCTTGGTCATTCTGTTTCCTTTGACTCTCCTCCACCCCTTGTTGGGTTCTGGTCACCCTGAAGGTACAGCCACCCACAGGATCTGCTCAGCAAGACACAAACACAAGTTTTGCAGGGTCAGGCTTTATTGGATACACTGAAGGTTGAGTGGGGCCTCGGGTGCCCTTGGTCCTCTTCAGCCAGGAGAAAGCAGACTCCACAAGGGGCTCCCAGGGTTCAGGGCTGGAGAACATACCTGACCTCCAGCCAGCCAGCCCTTCAGAGTGTCTCGGGGGCCCCCTGAGATCTGGGGCCGGGCAGGGATGGTGGGTTTCGGAGGAGGTGCTCCAGGGAGCCTCCGTGGCTCTGGCACTAGAGTGGTGACTTTCGGGGAATGGGCTCTGGAGAGGCAGGCCTCTTTGAGGCAGAGGAAGGTCTGGGCTTCAGGGAGACAGTGGCCTGTTTTGGTGCCTGAGTCTGAGACCCTGAACAGCACATGGAGTTTGGTGATTGAGGGCCTACAGACCTGAG